GACAATCTCGCCCCATCTGCCGCCAGGATCACATTAATCTTTCTGTTTACCTGCGTGTAGCAAATAAAACATACTACACGCTCAGCGGTGAAGCTGAGTAAGCATATCTAAAACGTCGAACATCCACATAAATTGAATCTCAATTCATAATCAACCATTTGATATCATGCACACAATATATGGTTCAAACATTCAAAATATTTTCAATATTTTATTCCAAGTCATTTGATATTCAATATATATCAATAATGCTCTTAAATTATTCCTAATCTAAGGCCACATCATTTTATATTCAGCTCTTAGCTATTCCTAGTCTAAGGCAGTAATTCTAACCAGGCTCTTAAACTATAAATAGTTTAATGCAGAACACAAGAATCGATAATCCACCCTATGATGCTTCGTATATAATTGTTATTTTATCTTTTGAGCTACTCTCTCCGTTCCAATTTCTATTTCCTGTTTACTATTTCCATAGTCAAATTTTATCCACTTTCTTTTTTTATTATCGCGAGACATTTGACAAAATAATATAGTCATGTCACCACTAATTTTGTAGATCCAATGATCTAGTTTTTAAATATGTAATTTTTATATTTTTATTTGTACACCATTTTTCATAAAAAATAATTTGAAAATAATTTCTGTCAAATATCATAAACTAAAATAGACAATATAAAGGAGTATGAGAATGAAATTAAAAATAATTTGGCACATCCATTTTAAAGTAAACATACGGATTTTAAATCCCGGGTACTGGATTTCCTAATTGGGCTGAACTCAATATCGGAGTGTTTATTTTATTACCAAATTTTGTCAGTTATATGTATAGTCATGTTATCATTTGTTTTCTAAGGCCATTCATGTCATTTTTTGGAAATTTATAGGATAAAGTTATTAGTACGCTAAGAATTTGTACCTCATTTTGTGCACCAACATTTTGTGTTGGTGTAACGCACCAACACTTTGTGTCAGTGTAAATTGTTATTAATGTACCAACACTTTGTGTCAGTTAGAGATGGCAACGGGTCGGGTTCGGGTCGGATAGTACTATACCCGAACCCGACCTGACTTTTAAAACCGAAACCCGAACCCGACCCGAAACCCGACCTTTTAAGCTAAAAACCTGACCCGAACCGAACCCGACATTTCAACCCGAAATCCGAACCCGACTTTTAACCAATAATCAATTCGACATATCCCAATAATTTTGAAATGATTAAATCTAATTTTTTCATGTCTTTTTTTTATGTCTCATTTTTTATTAAGGAATTATAAAAATGATTATAAAAAGCATACTTGATATAGTAGCACTTTGTCAAGAAATTATACGGAGTGCTTATTATATCCATAGATAGGCTTTTATGTAATAAAATATTCAGGTTTTATTCGGGTTGGGCGCGGGTTCGGGTCGGGTTGGGTAAAATTATAAATCCACACCCGACCCGACCCAATGTCGGGTTCGGGTAAAAAATTTCGGATCGGGTTCGGATTATTTTATTCTCGGTTTGGGTTCGGATATTTTAGTGGTCAGTCGGGTCGGTTAAGCTCGGGTTCGGGTTGAATTGCCATCCCTAGTGTCAGTGTTAATCATCAAAGTGTTGGTGCATATCTTTAGTGTACTACCTCCGTCCCATTTTATAACGCCTGTTTCGGTTTACGATGTTTGACTGGAATTATTTTCAAGCCATTTTATATGACAAATGGTATAGAATTAAAAAATAAAAATTACATATTAAAAAACTACATCAAAAGATCTACAAAACTAGTAGTGACAATAATATTTTATTTTATCAAATTGCTAACGAAAATCGAGAAAGAAAGTGAATGATGTTTGACCCTGTGAATAGTAAACAAGCCTTATAATTTGGGACGGAGGGAGTACAAATGAGGTATAAATTTTGGGGTGCATGTAGCATGCTCCAAATTTATATTTGCGCTCTACCTTAGTTCATTCTTTCTCAAATTGACCACAATAGCATTTTGATTGTTTTATTTATAACAATAGTTTTTTGAATTGATTTTTTATAATGTGTGTATGCCTCCCACTTTTGGTTCATCCTCCCCATATCTAAAACACTTTAACTAGAGGTGAGTGTGATTTCGAATGGTTTGTGATACGTTTATTTAAACGGTTCAGTATCGGTACAAAATGATGATAACCTCAAACTATTTGGTATCATTCAATTTTGAAAAAGACGATACAATACTGTACCTTACTTAAATTATGCCTCGAAGTAAAACATACATCACCTTGGTGTAAGTTCGTGGGGGCGCAGCGGAAATCACCAATTAAGAGCTATGCAAACAAATCATCGAACTATGCTGCAGATAAGACGTTGCATCACTGTCACAGTAACAGATGATGAATAGTGTGCTATAATACTTCTGTGTCACAAGCATGCACACAGAAGCAGATGATGAGAGAGCGTTACAGCATCTACTGGGCAGAATGCTGTAACTATAAAATGCGTAAAAAATGACACCAGATATGTTTACGAAGTTTGGAGCAAATTCTCCTAATTTGCGGGGCCCACGCCCGTGTAATAGCCCTCCACTAAATCACTAGATGCAAGTTACACCGGTACATAACAACATGCTGAGACACACTTCTCTGAATTGTTATGACAAAACTTCTAATCTAGAATTTTTAACCCGAACTCTGTTCAGATCCGCTTCAGCTATCACATCTCCACCGAGATCACGAGGACAAACGTGTTGGCATCCCTCTCCTTAAGCTCTAGTTCATCCCCTGGATGTCACGATCTGTTTGGCGTTGAAGATCTCCTCCTTCATGTAGATCGTGACCTTCTTCACGCATAGGAAGCTCCGGGACGCGACGGGAACGCTCTACATTAGCGTATATTCTTTGTTTTCCCTTTCAATCGCTCCAAGAAATTCTCAGGGACCTGCTGCGTTTTTATAGGCTCGTCTTAACACAATCCTAGTAGGAATAGGATAGTAGAAGTTAGCTTGAACTCAACTTCCTTAATCTTGATCCACAAGTAGCCTAAAGAGTAGGGATTCCTTCACAAGTAAAGCTGGAGTTATTATCATGTAATCACAATCCCAATAAATCTCTAATCCAGATTGCAGCTTAAAATCCCGTGTTCAGACCTCTGATCCCGAACAGTGTGTTGTAGGCTTGCAGCATCGTGCTGTAACATCTTCTATGTCACCCTCGAAAACAGCAGCAACTCTAGAAGTCTAAATAAAATAAACTTCTCCTAATAAATAGAGGTTTCTACCTAGTAAAACACCTAACAAATATGGGATTCTATTTTGCCAAAAGATTAGCCAACACCATGGAACTAACAATCTCCCCCATTGGCAATTTTTTGGCAAAATACATTATGCACCATGCATATAAAAGATTAAAGCATCTTTTAAGAACTAAGCCTTTTCTCCCCCTTTTTGACACAAAATATGTCAATCTCATTTAGGGTAAAAAAGAAAAGTAATACCACGTTCTTTTAAGAGCATACAACAATAACAAGTGCAAAACAAGTCAAATCTACAATTAAGATCTATGCATATGCTTCCCATCTGAATTTTATGCTCGAGCTCCATCCCTTTTTTGCAATTTACTCCCACTCAAGATATGCATCATAACCACGTCTTACTTCATAAAGTGCGCCAAATTTTTTTTCCAGATCATTATGAATGTTTGCAACGAACCACCCAAAGATCAAGCTAATAACTTAAGCTCAACCGCTCTGATACCAATTGTAAGTTCGTGGGGGCGCAACAGAAATCACCAATTAAGAGCTATGCAAACAAATCATCGAACTATGCTGCAGAGAAGACGCTGCATCACTGTCACAGTAACAGATGACGGACAGTGTGCTATAACACTTTTCTGTGACAAGCACGCACACAGAAGCAGATGATGCAGAGAGCGTTACAACGTCCACTGGGCAGAATGATGTAACTATAAAATGCGTAAAAAATGACACTAGATATGTTTACGCAATTCAGAGCAAATTCTCCTAATCTGTGGGGCCCACGCCCGTGTAATAGCCCTCCACTAAATCACGATCTGTTTGGCGTTGGAGATCTCCTCCTTCATGTAGATCGTGACCTTCTTCACGCATGGGAAGCTCCGGGACGCGACGGGAACACTCTACATCAGCGTATATTCTTTGTTTTCCCTTTCAATCGCTCCAAGTAATTCTCAGGGACCTGCTGCGTTTTTATAGGCCCGTCTTAACACAATCCTAGTAGGAATAGGATAGTAGAACTTGGCTTGAGCTCAACTTCCTTTATCTCGATCCACAAGTAACCTAAAGAGTTGGGATTCGTTCACAAGTACAGCTGGAGTTATTATCATGTAATCACAATCCCAATAGGTCTCTAATCCAGATTGCAGCTTAAAATCCCGTGCTCAGACCTCTAATCCCAAACAGTGTGTTGCAGCATCGTGCTGTAACATCTTCTGTGTCACCCTCGAAAACTGCAGCAACACTAGAAGTCTAAATAAAATAAATTTCTCCTAACAAATAGAGGTTTCTATCTAGTAAAACACCTAACAAATATGAGATTCTATTTTGCCAAAAGATTAGCCAACATCATGGAACTAACACTTGGTTCCCATGACATTGGAAATCAATATCATGGAATGACCCGAGGTCCATACGGTACTCTGTTCAAAAAATTGATGGTTCCTACCCCCTATCTTCCTGGTAGACGCCCCACCCCAGTCTGATCTGAACCCACCCGCACCCCTGCCAATTGCACCGCATAAGATTTAGTTTTGACTTTGGATTCAAATTTTGACTCCAAAGTCAACTAAATCTTGTGCGGTACAATTGACGCAGGTGGGTTTGGTCCGGACTGGGGTGAAATGTTTACCAGGCAGATAAGAACCATTAATTTTTCGAACGGAGCACCGTAGGTGTCCTAACTGGGATCCATGTCATAGGATGACATAGGGGCTCATGTCTGTCGAACCTCCACCCACATACATAAAATGATTTTTAATACAAAAGCACAAAACCCTTCGTCCCCCTAAGATGTTCTCATTTTGACTTTTGGTGATTTTTAAGGAGAGTTGAAAAAAGGTGAAAGTTTACCATAATACTCTTAATGAAAATGGGTGGAGTGTATTAAATGAGGTGGGTGAGGTGTAATAACTAATGTAAGTGGGGATAGTTGTGGTATTTTAATTAATAAAAAATGAAATGAGAAAATCTATTATGAACAAAAAAGGACTATTGGGAAGATCTATTGGGGACGGAGGGAGTATGAGTTTAATTAGTAACCTGAATGAATAATGTTTGCAGAAACATAAATGAAATTAAATCACTATTATGTTCACACAAAAAATCAAAAAATAATGATATAAAAGAATGGGAGAAGCTCTAATATGTTTGAAATAAATACATTCGAATAAGATCAAGCCCAATAGAAATAAATACATTCGAGTAATTACTACTTTTTCCGGCCATTTCATGACAATTGACACCTTTCGAATCATGTGCTAAGTCTTTGAAATTGATCTTATTTACATATTAGTATATAATTAAAAGAAATACAACTTATTACACATCTCTTAAAAAATATTTCGTATAACTTAAATATTTTAAAATTATACTTGGTATTAAAAGTTCTATAAAACATAAGGTCACAAAGAATGTTTTATTTTATTAAGTAATCATTGAAAATTTTCAAACAAATAAAAATGATCAAATAATTAATCTCTCCATCTGAGTGAATTTTTCTAGTTTGATTTTTTCTTATTAATTTGGATACACTTTGAATTTTAATTAAATAAAAATTATAATGTATATTTGTATAAAAATGACCTTACTAAATTTATTTTGTTGAGATATTTTAAATTTTATTTTAATATGAAAATATACAATACAAATCAAGAGTAATTAAAATTTAAATATATCCAATTTGACTTAAAAAAGTTAAACTATATAAACTAATATCTTCTGACAAAACGTGAAAGTAGCATCCGTGGCAAAGTTGAACGCCACGTGCCGCGGTAATGTATAACCATTCAGGAATTGCGACACGTGTCTCGCCACTTGCCAACAGCATTCGGCGATCTTCTTCTTCTCCAAGTTTACATTTCCAAATTCCAATCTAATTTTTTTTAAAAAAATATAATTAGAAATACAGTTTATAAAACGAATTGTATGTGTTTAAAATTTATTTTTAAAGTAAAACATTTGTATTTTAAATTTATTTAGAAAAGAAATGTATTTAAGTTTAGTACGTAGTTTTCCCTTCATCCCAAAGAAAAGGTTTGTGTTTCATATTTTACGCATTGCATAAAACATTTATATCTCGTCTCAAATGTCAATTTTTTAAAAAAAGCTCCACCCTCAATAAAAAGTAAATGTGATAAATTTTTGACGTTTTTGATGTTAGTAGAAGTGTTTTATGTAATGCACAAAAAATGAAACGTAACCTTCTTATTGAGACAAAAGGAGTATTAGTTTAAAAGTCTAATTTCAATGGTCAATGTGTCTACAAACCTTCGTTTGATCGTTTTTGGGATCTTCATGAAAATAAAAATGGCCAATCTTTAGTGTTAAACTTAAGTGTTTGAAAAAGTCTATCAAATTTAGGGTTTTAAAAGTTATTTTAATATCAACAAAAAATATCCAGAATATTAAAACGATATTCCCTTAGTATAAGGCATTATTCTTGTTAACTAGACTTATCTTGTTAAATATTTTTGACCTAAATAGTGAAGTGAGATGATTAATTAATCCAACATGCACGAAGGAAGCATATTGAATACGGAGTATAAATACTTTCTTTTTCGAAAGACAATATAAATTACTTTCATTATAGTATTTTTAAAAATAGATTTCATTAATTAATGTTACCTCCGTTCTAAATTAATCTTCCTTATTTCTTTTTTAGATTGTCTCAAATTAATCTTTCCCTTTCTTTTTTTTGAAAAACTTTTCTTGATTTATCTTTTTTCTCTCTCCTCTGCATTACTTTAAAACAATACAATTTCTTTTTTATTATTAGGATCTTTAATTTGGGACGGAAAGGGTATAATTAAGAGTTACTTTTAGTGAAACTATTGCCATAATTCTAGCAATAAGGAAGTACTTATTTGAGGAAAAATAAATACTTCCTTCATCCCACAAAACATTTTGGTTTTGACTTTTAAGGTCTATGGGTCTGTTTAGTATACGAAATTGACATAATTAGAATTGAACCGGGAGTTAAATTCTATGAAATTAATTTGGATAGAATTTAATTATTCGATTCGAATTAATTTTTTGCACTACCAATTCCAAAGAGAAGCTGACTAAAATACAACGACCACCATAACTAATACTACCATTATATTATTATTATTATTATTATTATTATTATTATTATTATTACTACTACTACTATCATCATTATCATCATCATCTAACATCTCACCTCAAGCTGAATGCGTGTTATGAGTGAAAGCTTGAAAAAAAGAGCTTGAAACTACGGAAAAGATAGTGCCTTGAGTAAGTCGATCTCCTAGAAATAGAGAAACAAATACTCCGTACTTGCTGTGTTACGAACAAATTTGAGAGTGCATGTGTTGATTGATTGATTCAAAACCCATAGAGTGCACTCTCTCTCCATCTTCACACACTTCCTTTTTGGATGTCTAGTAATTAATTAATTTAATTTACACCTTTGGGCATTTTCATTTTGGATATACATCTTTTTTTATCTTTCAAGGAAATTGTTACTACACAATGGTTTGTCATTTTTGAGTATCTTTTCAATATTTCTCTTAAATTTTATTGTTCCCTCCGTTCTAAAACGTTCTTCTCAGTTACTATTCACAAAATCAAACTTTAATCACTTTCTTTATTTATTTTCGTTAGTTATTTGATAAAATAATATGATCTTGTCACATCTTGTTTTGTAGAACTTTTGAAATAATTTTTGAATACATAAATTTTATTTTTTAAATTTTACACCTACAATCAAATAAATTGATTTGAAAATAAAGTCAGTGAAAACTCATAAACAGAAATGGGAAAAATCTTTTAAGATTGAGGGAGTACATTCTTTCAGTGACAGATAGGGATAATATATACCCCCTCTAGGAAAACAATTCCTATATTGACTTTAGGTAAAAATACTGAAGGATTATTTGGAGCTGACTTTCCAATTTTGTTTTTTGATATGATGGATAAAAGTTAGATGAAATTGAATTTTTCAATTTCAATTCAATTTTGGGGCTATCAATTTCAAATCCACATATTTTTGTGTTACCAAATACTTAACAGAATTGATATTATTTTGGGAGAAAGACCAAAACAGGACTAAAACATTAAAAATATACCAAAATAGAACTTTCATATTTTTATTTCCGAAATAAGACTTAAAATGCATTTACATTACCAAACACGGTTATGTACATTACCAAAATTTATAGTAATGTGCACATGTATTGTGTCATATTACCACAGTGCGAAATCCTATTTCGAAAAAAAACATGAAAATTTTATTTTAGTACTTTTTTCTATATTTTCTTCCTATTTAGGATGATTTTTAAATTATTATCCTCATTTCTTATTCTATACTTTGAATTCTGTGAATCAAGTTAAGATAGTCGGTATCAAATAGTCTCTAATTATGGAGTCGCTATTTAAGGAGGGTGATGTGTTGAAGAACAAGAAGGTTAGTTAGTTAAATCGGCAAGAGAGATGATGATATTGGACGCTATCCACAAGTTTCTCAACATGGTGGCTCCGCCCTTCACCTTCTTCACCTTGCTCCTCTTCTGGCCCCCATACCAAATCTTCAAGCTCTTCCTCTCCCTCTTGGATTCCACTTCCCCGGAGGACGTCTCCGGCAAGGTCGTCGTCATCACCGGTGCTTCCTCCGGCATTGGTGAGGTATGCTTCCCATGTTCATACTTTGTTTGAAATGAGAAAAAACTGAAAAAATTACTACCTTCGTACTTGAATATTTGTCCAATTTTAAATTTTTTTATAGTCAGTTATTGTCAAGGTTTGACGTATAGTTAAATAGAACAATACTCCGTATATGGTATATTAATTAGATAAACTAATATTCTGAAAAGATTTTTGTAAAATAAATCTAATTCAGTTATTTTCGTATCAATTTTATTTAATTAGGGATCAAGTTTTATCAATTTTGATTACGATAAGTCAAAACTGGACAAATACTCAAGAACGAAAATAATAATCCACAAGTTTCATTGAAATACGAGAAATTACCCTAAATAAGACTAAAATATAGAAAAGTAACAAAATAGTAATTCCATATTTTTATTTCTGAAATAGGAGTTTGCACTGTGGAAATGTAGTGGTAATGTGGCACTGTATATGTGCACATTACTATACTTTTTTGGTAATGTACATAACCATGTTTGGTAATGTAAATACATTCTAACTCCTATTTCAAAAATAAAAACATAGAAGTCATATTTTGATATATTCTTAATATTTTACTCCTATTTTTGTCTTTTTCCCTTGAAATACCTAGTCTTTTTATTGTTAAATAAGTCACGTGAGGCCTTTAAAAATGTGGTTTTCCTATTTTCTCCAAGTAGGATTTATCAAGACAAAATTTGTAGGGCTAAAAATGTTTCATATACCAACATCCGTTTGTGAAAAGCATTCCTATATTGAGGCTCCGTTCCGTTCAACTTATTTTTTCTGATCTGATCTGATTTTAATAAGTTCTGATCTGGTCTGATCTTATCTAATTGGATCTGATCTGATCTGATCTAGTTCGATCTGATTAATTATGATTTGATTTAAAATTCAAATCAATAAATTTGATTTGACTTTATAATAACGTTTAAAAATTGTAATTATAATTTATATTATAATATAATCAATATTTTTTATTTAATGATTACTTTTTAATAAAATAAAATTAGTTAATACATGTATTAGAGTAATCATTCATATTATATTATAATGTAATAATATTTTTTATTTTATGATTATTTTTTTGTGAAATTAGAATATTAATTTAATATTTTAAGAATTACTTCATATATACATTAGAATAAATATTTAATTTATATATACATTAAAAAGTAATTAAATTTAGATAATCAATATATAGAAGATGCGATACGTAGATTATATACAGTTTGGGCAAAAATAAGAAAGAGTTATTTGGAATTGAGTTTTCAATTTTGTCCTTGATGTGATGAGTAACAATAAGATGCGATAC